CCTTGAAAATGTTTATACGAAGTTGCTATTGAATAAACGAGTCAGCTGAATCTGTCGCTGCCTTGGTTGTTTTTCCCGCCGCCTCGGATACCTCTAGTTCTCTACCCATTCTCAGGTGGTTTCAGATAAAGGATATTAATATAGTTTCACAGTTGACCGCCGCACTTTTCCTAGCGCTGAATATGTTGTCTCTTTTTTACTTCCGTCTTTTGCGGCTTTCCTTCTGAGGTACTGTGATTGAGAGCGCGTACTTTTTGTGCTCATGTACACAAGGCGCGGAAGCACGATAATTGCCACGCGCCACTGTGACTTTGCTTTAATTCGTTGAGCGCAGTAATTTTTTTTTTATACCTTCAACCTCGAGTCGTTTTTCTTGCTAATGCTTTGCACTTCTACTTTATTGTACAGAGCTGATTTTTAGTTGCGTAACGCACGTGCAGTGCATCAGCCCTAAGATCTGTGATGCTGGTAGCTGCAAGGGTAAGTATGCGGAAGCTCCTATTTTATTCAATTAACTTTCACTAAGTTAATATTATTTTTACATTTATATAACTTAATGTGTAAATACTGTCCACTGCAAAACGAGGCCACCACTTTGTGGTTTTAATATCATTTCATGATTACGACTTTCCTCTGTAGTTGCCTGTACTCCTTACAATAACTGAATTAATGTTCCTCTCGTCTTTGATTTAAAAAAAAAATAAAAAAATAACAGGGTTCGTTTGTCTAGTTAGCTTACGTTAGCATGTATACAATCGGATGATTTAATTGTCATGACCTTTATGATAAAAAAATAGCCGGTCAACTTCAATAAAACGTTAATCATACACTGCACATTTCGTTTTTTTTTTCTTTTTGTCAAATTTAGTTTTTCGCGCTTTTTGACATAGTACAAGATTGGGAAACCCGTATAAAAAAAATCCTATTTTTTTATGTATAAGTCGCCGTTTTTTCCCAAAACTTTTTGTCTGTCTTAAAAAACAAGGGAATTATATGCGTTTTTTTTTTTTTTTTTTTTTTTTTTGAATATAAGTATGGTCCTTAACTGCGCCAGATATAGGCCGCATCGACATTTTCGATAAACGAGAAATGGCTGTCGGAGGATGGTCCAAGGAATAGGTGATATAAATACAACGTTATCACCAACTGCACCAATATGTGTGGCTCATACTAATTGATGTAGGGTGGTGCGACTTAGGAAACAGTGCGAATTTTAAACCGGAAAATACGTCATTAAAAAGTCGCAGCAGTCGATGCCGAATGATTCCTCCCCATACTTGCACAATCCTTGACAAACCGCGGTCACGGGCGAAAAATTCTAAAAATCGTTGCGTGAAAACCGCGGTCACGGGCATCATTGACGAAACATTCTAAAAATCGTTACGTTCTTATTTATTTTTAGAGCGCAGCTCTTAGGGGCCCGTTTCCGGCTTGAGCGGCGTCGCCGCCGGCGTCGGCGTCGCCGTCGCCGTCGCCGTCGCCGTCGCCGTCGCCGTCGGCGTAACCGCGCGGTGCATCATGGGAAATGTCCCATAATGCACCGCGCGAGCCCCCCACCAAGGTGACGTGACCTCGTGGGGGGTCACGTGACCCCCCGAAGTCACGTGACTCCCCTGAGGTCACGTGACCTCCTCGAGGTCACGTGACCCCCGCCGATGTCGCGTGACCCCCCGATGACGTCATCGTCACTGATGCCGTCACCGGCATCCACATCGTCATCGTCATCATCACTGATGACGTCACCGGCATCCACATCGTCATCGTCATCATCACTGATGACGTCACCGGCATCCACATCGTCATCGTCATCACTGATGACGTCACCGGCATCCGCATCGTCATCGTCATCATCACTGATGACGTCACCGGCATCCACATCGTCATCGTCATCATCACTGATGACGTCACCGGCATCCACATCGTCATCGTCATCATCACTGATGACGTCACCGGCATCCGCATCGTCATCGTCATCATCACTGATGACGTCGCCGGCATCCACATCGTCATCGTCATCATCACTGATGACGTCACCGGCATCCACATCGTCATCGTCATCATCACTGATGACGTCACCGGCATCCACATCGTCATCGTCATCATCACTGATGACGTCACCGGCATCCACATCGTCATCGTCATCATCACTGATGACGTCACCGGCATCCACATCGTCATCGTCATCATCACTGATGACGTCACCGACATCCGCATTGTCATCGTCATCATCACTGATGACGTCATCAGTGACGTCACGGATGTCGTCACCGGCATCCGCATCGTCATCGTCATCATCACTGATGACGTCATCAGCGACGTCACTGATGACGTCACCGACATTCGCATCGTCATCGTCATCATCACTGGTGAAGTCATCAGTGACGTCACTAATGACGTCATCGGTACCCGCATCGTCATCGTCACTGATGACGTCATCAGTGACGTCAGTGATGACATCATCGGCATTGGGGGTCACGTGACCCCCAAGGTAACGTGACCCCCCCCCCTGGTTAGTTTAACCCCCCCCCCCCCCCCCCAGTGCCCTTCCCTCCTCCTCCTCAAGAGCTGCGCTCTAATTCGGCGTTACAGGGAGTTGTAAGCGGCTTTCATTTTTTCTTTCAGAAACTATTAGATTTTCCTAGAACTGCGATGATGGAGGATCTGCTGTAGACGACTCAAACTTCGCAAATTTTGCGAATTTCGGACTAGCACGAAATATATCCCGTGAATTATACAAGGTGCGGGCCGTAAAAACTTTCACATTTGGCACGCCTAGCAAAAATCGAATTTCAAACGTATACATACCTGAAATTGGGCACACGAACGTCGTTTATTCCAAAGTTTTTTGCCTATTTTTTTCAGACGTCAACTCTGGAGTAGCGAATTATTAGAAAGATAACAAAAATGCCAGATGTGCATTTCCTATGGCCTATAACCGCCCGTTCGCCGTCTGCTATCTGGTTCGCGACGCCGCTCCCAGGTGGCGCACTGAACGCAAAAACGTGGGAAACGCCGCACGAAAGGGTGGTGTCGAGCGAGATAATCGCTATAAAAAGTGATTTGAACGAAATATATGAACAATTGTTGAAATTACCTGTTTCATGTCAAGTTCTGACAGATCGTCATGCAAGCAAGAAGACACCATGATGCGACGAGATCATTTATTTACAGCTGCTCGTCTTGTTGACAATTGCGGGTCGCTCTCGAAGACAGCAAGCACCGCTTCAATGAGCTCCTCATTTTTCAGCAGGCTCTCACGTTCACTGACTGTATTCTTCTTTTTAAAGTCTTCTCCACACACAAAACGATCCGCCCAACTCAAAACAGTCGGGCGTGAAGGCGGGCGTTTATGAAATGCAGTGCGCAATTTTCGTTGTGCTGTGGCCAACGAGTTCCGCTCCACGCACCACTTGACTGCATGGGCACACTCACTTGCCGAGTATTGCGGCATCGCAGGGCGGCGCGGAAAATATTTTGATAATAACTGCAGAAGATAGTGCAACAAAAACAATAAATAGGAACATTCAAGATGCCTCAGCAGCGGCACTCTTGATTCCAAAGTTGAGCTTTCACCGGAAACGGACCCGTCAACAGATAAGCAGACGACAAAGGAAGACACACGTTCGTCTGCTTTAGAACATATTTTTATTAAACGAGGGCGTCCGCCAGTTTTTAAATTTCAAGTAAAAGGGCATAATCGTTCACATATTTCGGTAAAATCACTTTTTATCGCGATTATCTCTCCCGACACCAGCCTTTCGTGCGGCGTTTCCCGCGTTTTTGCGTTCAGTACGCCATCTGGGAGCGGCGTCGCGAATTAGATAGCAGACGGCGAACGGGCGGGTATAGGGCAGAGCCTATACCCGCCCGTTCGCGAATTAGATAGCAGACGGCGAACGGCTCTGGTATAGGGCATAGGAAATGCACGTCTGCCATTTTTGTTATCTTTCTAAAAATTCGCTACTCCAGAGTTGACGTCTGAAAAAAATAGGCAAAAAACTTTGGAATAAACGACGTTCGTGTGCCCAATTTCAGGTATGTACGTTTGAAATTCGATTTTTGCTAGGCGTGCCAAATGTGAAAGTTTTTACGGCCGCACCCTGTATTTCCCCATGGTAACTAATGCATAACATACCGCTCCCAATCGCGAAGTTTTTTCCCGCGTTATAAGCCTGAAATTCACACTAAGCCGAATTCTCGAAATATTGAGACTGCGAAAATAGAGACTTTTACAGTACACGCATTTTGAAAATATACAAAGAACAAATGAAAAATACACTTAAACAAGAAAAACACGATCAAACTTGATTGGTCAAACGGCTAAACAAATACAACAGTTAAAGAAAGGTGAAATCCAGCAATAGGCTATAGTGGCACACACGCATACAACACTCAAACTAAAAAAAGAAAATACGTTACGTTTATCAGCTTTTTTGTAACTTAATTTCTTTCTTGTCACGAAGCAATGCAGTGTGTACTGAAAAAAAAATTTAGTTAGTGCGAGAGATATTAGATGGATTCACATATAGAAATGTTTTGACGGGTAAATTAAAACTGTGCGCTCACATGAACCGACATTCCCAATTTGACTCAGCGTCTGTTGCTGAGCACAAAAACACTAGAGCGGTGGTTGAGATAAGTGGCGCAGGTTTTCTTTCTTTCCCGTTCTAATGTATATGTATATAGTTATTATTACATATATATTATTTATTTCTCTGTCTAATATAGACACATAAAAAACTTTCCCAAGACGCGCATTTGACTGGCATGAAACACTTCATGACAGGCACAACAAATTGCACAAGTTAAAATTATACTATTTTTTTAATCATATGGATGGACGTAAAATATGGTGGTCTAACTTGACGTAGACTACAACAGCGAGGGGAAAATGTTGGGCCGGAACCAGGGAAGGACAGCGTGATTTCACTACACAGCTTTCTCGCGAGAGACCGAATATAGGTGCGTTACGCCTCCTCAAAAATGGAATAACTCGGGGCTTCGAGCTTTTATGAAAGGCGACCAGTCCTTTGAAAAAAGACGTCTGATAAGAAGTGGCATTGTGGACGATAAAGGTTATCTATTTGGGGTAGCTTGTCTTTCATCGTAGTCATATTGCTTTCTGAATCAGGGCTCTTGCCAAAACAGATTAAGTATCTAACTCACATTCATCTTTTGATGGTGTTCACGAAAGGGAGAAATTGCAACGAAAAAAATTCGAGGTGGTTAGGAAGGCGTCCTTGTTCTTACCTTCCTCCCTTGGCTATGTCCATGGCGAGGACGGTTGACACGATTAATATCTGTGCAGCGGGAACTTCCAGAACCTTCACTTAGTGAACGCGTGTGGTTCCTCTGTTCGCTTAAGAGAAGTAGACCAAGGCAATTCTACCTTGACGGTCGTTTGCTTCTTAGAGCACTGCGCATTTTATTGTGAATTTTTTTTACCTCCAGCTCTTTCTCTTTCTAATGGTTTGCTCTTCTATGTCTGTGTCCAGCGTTTCGTTGCAAAGACAACAGCGAGTGCCGCAAAAACTTGAATTGTGTGTCTGGCTTCTGTCTGTGTGAGTATGATACAGCTCATCCTGTATTTTGATAGTTTGCAATAGATGAAATTATCAGGTTTATTTTTTTACCAAACAAATGTGTGGTTTACAGTAATAATAGGGTGCTATTAGATATTCTGCAGGCAATTTAATGCATGTGTATTTCCCAAGCTTCGGAGGAAAAAAAAAACAGGACGCTAACATTTGTTACTTGTTATCTATAGAGCACTAAGAGAAACACCATAGCCGGGCACAGTATTTTGAATTTACAGATTTTTTTCCGTCAAAAATTTAATTGTTTAAATAGCGCTTTTTTTTTGCTCATATTATTCTGATATATTATCAGGTTATTCTTATAGATTTATTATTATAGAATCATTCACAATGCCGTTGACAAAAGTTTCTCACACGCGAATAGCGGACCAATACCCTATGTTTGTTACGTACTATAAATTCATATACCAGCTTGGTTGTATTAAACTTCCACCTCTTTTTAAGACTCAGAAAATTTTATTTTAATGTAGGATCAGTCTATTTTGTGATGATTTAAGACCGAAAACATTATATCTAAATGAAAGTAATTGCTTTAATTTATGCGTCTATGTCGTTGTAGAATCTTCGTCTTCATCCTCCGGTTCGCTAAATCGCCAAGGCTACCCCCCCCCCCCCCCCCCCCCCCCCTTTCTTTTCTTTTGCTCCTTGTAAATTATGTCCACCGTCAAATTTGTGTTCCGTTGGCGGGCCTGTGTTTCTATTTGTTTTGTCGCTCTTATGTAGTACGTGCTGAAGAAAATGACCTGGCCGATCGATATACATTGTGTAAACATGAAAATCTACAACGAATTTGCTTTTTTTTTTAGAATTGGCGAGAGAAATGTGGTATACCAGCGCCACCCAAATTCGATACGCACTTGGGTGTTATGCGGATATTTGATGATATTCAATTCGTTCCGTCTACTTAATCACGCTTGGCGATATTTTCGAAGATAGTAGGATGTTTGCAAGTTCGAGTTGAAGGCACAGTCGATGGTTACACAGGCCACCTGCCAAACATTCCAGACAAGCGCGCACTCGCTTGTTCTGAAAACCCGATGTACGAAAGACAGTGACTTTCTGATCACTCAATGATGGCTCTCACGTCAGCGGATTGATCCTAAAAGCAGGTGATGTTACGTATGTCGAAGAAAGCCTACCGAGAAGTATGGTACAGAAAAACTTGCCTTTGATGATTTTTTTTTTTACAAGTGATGACGAAGAGCGCACTTCTGTAACCATGATGTCTTGGTTCCTTTGGACGCCAAGGTCGAGAACAGCCCGTGTACATAAGTTTGGCTGTAGACTTCTCCAAGACATTTTGGGCTGGTGACTCGGCATCCCACTTTTGGCACTAATGTTAGGACATTACCAATTGAGTTTATTCTTTTACAGATCATCCGGGTTTTGAATCACTTCGCATGTATCCTAATTTTCGACAGGCCCGTGCCATCTGCACTTGAAGCATCGTCGTATTCATTCTCCGGTTTACTATATCGCTACACTACCTAAATATATGAAGTATAGGTGATGCTCCTCATTTTCAACGCTAACGGCCTCATGCGTGACAGCAACTCCGAGTACAGCAGATCAGTTCTCTTGTTGAAAAAAACTTGGAGAGAATCACATGGTATTTGAGGACGAAATCGTGGTTCCTAGACCCACTCCGCAAAATAAAAAAAGGAGTGAAATGAAGTGAAGGAAGCACGCTGCAAGTAAGACACTTAGACAAGATGGTAGCACTACTGGAAGACAAGAACCCGATTGTGTGCACGGTCGCAACCATGGACGACAGCAGCGCAGTCAATGGATACTACTATGGCAACAACCACAGAATATTCATCGTTACTCCACGCAACCTGATCAGCGTAAAGAAAACTGAACCCCAAGCTATTGAAAAGGCTACCAAAGCTTTCGAAGTTGGCAAACAAAAACGTAGCCTGTACGTATATACAGACCGCAACGAACCGTCGTAGAAATGTAACAAAACACAACAGTCGTAACATGATTGTAAAAAAAAAAAAAAAAAAAAAAGGCTATACGATAGTCAAACAGCTTCGAGCTGAAGCCTGTAGCGTCCAAATCCGATAGATCTCTGGGCACGAAGGTATCCACGGGAACAACAAGGCACGGGAACAGCTACAGTCACCCCTACCCGGGAGGGGCTCAACTCGTTCCTTCGAAGAAAACACTAAATAGAATAGATTGATCCTACTGAACTTATTAAGGCAGAAGAACATGAAGAGGGAAAGAGCCGCCTCCATGAACAACTCAAAGGATACGAAGACCCCCTTCTCTCGGCGTCATGCAGTCGATGGGAGAGGATGCGTCTGAAAAGGCTCCGCACCGGAATGGCGCCATGTCTCCGGCAAGGAAAAAAAGGACCCCCAAGCCGGAATGCGCAAGGAATGCCGTGTACCCGCGGACAAACAACATACCTTCTGGGATTGTCCCTGTGGTGAAGAAGGAAACATTTCTCTGAAGTCGCCCTCGCCGCGTGTGAGACCAAGCTGCCTGAATGATTGGATCCTCCCTGTCAGCTGCCTCGAACACCGGAGGGCAATATTGGATTCCCTGATCGGTTAAATAAAGTCGGCAGAGCTTGAAAATTGTATATAACTTCCATCCCGTCTCCCCCCCGCCCCCCCCCCCCCCCCCCCTCCCTCCTGTAACCAATGGCTACCTTCAAGGGCTACGGGTACTCCCCCTTCGGCAAATAAGAATTTTCACAATTGGGAAGTACTTTAAGCACATTGTACTTAAAGCATTACACACAGCAATAGATACGGCGGTACCAGTCCCCTAAATGCTTTGTGAAAAAAAAAAAAAATTTTTTTCCGCGATGTTATTTTTTTTTTTTTATTTCGTTTTCATCCTGTTCCTCAAACCGAGCGCCCTTACCGGCAACACAGAAGTGTGGCGACTAAATTATACAAAGTTGGTTGTAAACCACGCTCCCCAGTTATTACAATACGTTTGATGGTGGGAAAAGAATGCTTGGAAGCTCATACACTGAGAAGCAGGAAAAAAAACGCTCGTCATCCTCTGTTTAAGACTACCTGGAAATCTGCATCACTTGTGGCGTCATACCACTAGAGAGCGCGCTGAAATTTGAATGTTGGTTTCGGCATCATCTTTATTTACAAATTTCTCAATAGTTATTTTGAATTTTCGGACAATAAATAGCATACAATGAAGACTAAAACTCGGGTATTTAGAAAATACAATTTGTTTGGGTAGCTAAAAAGAAACGGCCGGAGTACCCCTTTAAAGTATTTGTTGCTAGTACTTTCAGAGGAAAGTACAACTCCTAACTTTAAAGTACATTCCCAGAATTTCGTATTTTTAAATTTGTATAGAAAACTTATACTTTCTGAAGAAATACTGGACGGAATATTCTACTGTCATCAAAAACGCGAGCAGACGATGCATTGCTCCGTTTGTAGTGGGGACGGCTCTCACACAGCATTTCGAACTGTTGCTACTTCTCGCTCCTAGAGCGTTTAACCCTCCTGGGTACCAGCTACTGCAAGCGGCGTCAAACTCAGAAGTCAAAAGGACATCTGAATTCGGCGTTATTTCCGAAAATAGCTGCCTTACGGCCACTTGACTTCATTCGATATTCACCGCTATTTCAGACAATAACCTTGGCACCACCGATTACCCGTAAAACAATGCACACCAGTTTAAAAAAATGTACAGGGGTGTGAAGAGGCATTATGAAAGATTGCGTTGAAAAGTACTTGTGCTTCACCTGAAGTACAGAGCCTCTCATTTGCTTTGTAATTTACTTCAAGTACTTTTTAGATGTACTTTAGCCAACGCTGGCGTTTTCTAAACTGAATGGACACCATGTAAAAAAAGAAGGAACAAAACACGTGACATTGGTGACATATGCGGGAGTCTGGGTTGCCAGAAACATGCCGTCAAGAAGTCTGCAGGCTAGATGACGTCCTCTGAGCTATTCATAGCCCTTTCGTCCGAAAGAACCAGAGCATCATGGTTGGAGAGATTCGCCGGGGGCGCTTATTGGCGCCACACTTCTCGGTAGGCTTTCTTCCTAAGTCATTAGTTAACTCTCGTTTTCCGGACTAATCCGCCAACGTGTGGGCCTTGACGGCGGGATAAAAACGGCGCCACTTTTCGGGTATTAAGTGTTCAGAGGGAGAAAGTCTGCATTGGACTTGAACGTTGGGTCAGTCACTGCTGCAACCATGGATTTTCTTGTGTTCTAAAGGCTGGTTCAAGCTTTAGCTCGGACAGGCAAGTTTGCTTTGCGTTTTCTTCCGCTAAGTTATGGATCATTTGGACATCCGTGCTCCGAATGTCGCGTGCAAAGCTTGTCCATCAACTAGTTGTCATGCTTCATACAAAGTACATATGTCTCGGTGACTCTGTCATGAGTATACTTAAGCTCTCGTAACATAACGTAACGCAAGAAAACGGGGCTCTGTGAACCGGCCTTTACTCTCAAGTGACTTCCACCAAATGTGCGCAAAGCGCGCAACCGTGTGCTGGATTTGGGTGGTGCTGGTGTACTTTGTTTCTGGCGTAAATTTGTTAAACAAAAATGCGAATGTATTGTGGAACTTCAGACCTGCACGATATGCATCGGCCAGAACATTTGCTTCTGACTGTGTTTGCACGAGGTCGGCATGAAAAAAGGACACACCCACGTCAAAAAATGAAAGAAACACAACCTACAAGAAGACAATGGACGCCATGTAAAAAATAAACCAAGGACGTAACAATGTGCTAGCCCCAAGTACCAGTGGTCGTCCGTTTTAGCACCCATAAAGCCCAGACATCTAAAGCTACGTTTCGACTAATCTACGCAGTTTAGCCTATCTAAAGGCTTGTTCAGACATTTACGTTGGAGTACGCCCGACAGCGTTGCAGTTGTTAGGTGGGGTGGCGTGGGAAGGGGTCACGTGAGATGAGGTAACCTGACGTCGATTTCCCCAATAAGTTTAACGGGGAAAGGGAATGGGGGTTTAGGCAACGTGGTGTCGATTTCTCCCCTATATCTAGAGGGAAAACCGAAGCGGTGTTTACGCCAGGACGTCAATTTCCCCGCTAAATTTAGCGGTAAAAGTTGATTGACGTTGAGATAAAGACGAAAACTTTAGCGGGGAAACGGAATTGACATAGGTCGCCTCCCGTCAATTTTCCCGCTATATTTAGCGGAAAGTGCACAAGCGGACGGGTAAAAAAAAAAAAAAATCTTTGGGATTGGGGAACTCTGTTAAAAAAGCATTCCATATTTTAATATATGGTCACTTCTATGATACTGTGAATCGGCGATGTCTTCCTGGATGACATCTCACAGAACATATTTTTTTTTTTCTGTGCTAAAGAAAGATACATAAAAACAACATGCGAAAGCATCAGCGTGTGACGTCTAGTGAAATGAGGGCCATGCCTAATATATTGCTTTTTTTTTTTTTTGGTTAATCGAAAGATCGGGATGGAGGGTTGCACGAAGACGACATATTTCGCAATATAGGTAAGTCACACGTTAAGCAATTTATTTTCATTTTTTTCTTTGCTACAATCGACAATTCACTAAACGGTACACTACAGTTCTCACCTGTAATAAAAGTACACCCTCGTATTTGCCTGCGAACGAAATTATCACCTTCCTACCGTCGCATATGTAAACACCGGAGATATTTGGGATTATTTGCGCCGAGCTGTAGTGATTAGACAAATGCCACGAGAATAAACGGGGTCCTTAAAATGTGTAGTAAATTTAACCAAACGAACAGAATTCGTGTTACCTCAATAGTAGTTATTCTGAATTAGTTCGTGCTTAGTTTAGGCTCCTCTTTAATCGGACTATTGAGGAATGAAGTAAGCTACCTATAGAGGTATATTCTTGAAAAAAATCTAGTTTTTTATATAATCCTTCGGCGTTTGTCGTGTACATTCCTCTCACTCGTCTTTCGTCTAATTCTTGCGCTTTTTTTCCCCAGATTTACACATGGGATGTTTTTTTTTTTAATTTTCAATCGTGAGGTATTTGAGATGAATAAAGTGGATGCTTGAAAGAGGCTGATCAAGGGAATGGATATGTTATCATTTGTCATATTAAAAAAAGTTGTGGAGCTGTTATCTTCATCGCAAGCCGAATTAGCACGCAAGCGTTTGATGGCGTTTGCAATTTCCTATGGCGTGAATGCCGTGTTATGCATATTAGTGTTAGCATGACACAGCGCTAACGGTAGTGGAATTGACTCGCTCGTAAATACTCAACTAAAGAACAAGTTAAATATGGATGATGCGTCAAACGGTGACACCATGGTTTACTGCTGTCACGGATAATAGATAGATGGATTAATGGATAAATAGCAACTTTATTTAAAGGATGGTGGGGATGAATCAGCCGCCTGGGTCCAGGCAGCCGCTGAGGGTCTTGTTGATGTGGGCCCCCAGTTCATGTTGTTGTTGAAGGCTGACCGAAAAAGCCAGCAACTCCCGGGTGTAATGGTGTGGTTGTGCCGAGTTATGGGGACTTCCCAGCAACACCAACGTGATAAGATTTCCAGTGTACCTAAATAGGTCTTCTGGCATTGTTGAGGAGGGGAAGTGCAGAGGGGAATGCGAAGCTCTGAGCGAGGTGAGAGCATGCTAAATTTGAGTCCGTGTAGATGTAGGTGGTGCAGCTGGGGGAAGAGTTGTGAGCGGCAGCAAGTGCGTCGGTGAGAAGTTCTGCTTCGACCGGGGTGGCGCAGGGCTGCGTAATGGAATGGTCAGTGCCGTGTGAAGTGCTAAAATCCAGTACACCAAGGTTATCCCGAAAGGCTGTATCGGTGAAAGCGTGAAAGTTGTCGGGTTCTCGAGCAATCTTCTTGATGTAGTATGCAGCGCGAAGGAGGTGGCAGTTGGGATTCCACTCCCTGTGGCAGGGAATTGAGGCTACGGTGACAAGTTGGAGATTTCCGTTGTCGAGGGGAGTAGGTTGAGGCCGGTGTGACTAGGTTGTGTACCTTGGCTCGTTCAGGATTAAGCGACCTGTTGAAATTGGTGAGAGGCGTTGACGTTGATGGACACGATGAATGTCGATGATGTCGGAGACTGGGGGTTGAACGCCTAGTTGGAGCAGTCTGCTGGTACTGGTGGTGATGGGGAGACCCAGGGCGTTCTTAGTCGTCTTACGAACAATAGTGCTAATTAAGTTTGCCTTTCCAAGTACGCGTGAGAAATACATATGAAACTCGATAGCGAATCCGCCTGATGATGAGGGCGTCGCGAAGTTTGAGTAGGTCTCGTTCTTTCAGGCCCTAGTGCGCGTGGCTACGCGGTGCATCATGTAAAGGATGGTTGCAGCCTAGCGGAGAGTGTGCTGTACGGCAATGGGGCCTCCAACATCGGGTTGTATTTGGCGGCCCAGGACTTTGAGGGTCTTTTGTGGGCAAATGGTGTTGCTGTGATGCTCAAGGGTGTCTTGAGGAGGGTACCAGTGGCGGGAGGGGATGAGAAGAAAGGTTTTATTGACCGAGCAAAACAGACCAATAGAATGGGCTGCTTTATGGACAGCTTTGAGGGCGGCCTTGAAGAGAGTCTTGCATGTGTCTGGGACTGCCTTGATTGATTCATATAGTGAAAGGATATTCGGGAGGGGTCGGAGGGGCCGGTGGATACTGCGCATGCCGAGATTGAATGATGTTGGAGAAATACCGCACCCTGAGGGATGTTTCTCTGTGGGTGAGAACCTGCGTCGAGCTTATGTTATCCGATTTGTATGGTAAGGGCGTGAGATCGAAGGAAGTCCCTGACGTAATTACACATGTGTAGGCCACATTGTGAGTCGGCGAGCTCTGAGAGCATAGCGTCATGATCCACGCAGTCGAAAGCCTTTGTGAGGTCTATAGCCAGGATGGCTGTTAATTGGGCTGTGCTAGGAGACTGCAAAACATATTCGTGGATGCGGAGCAGTGTCTTGCATGGACAGATGTGGGCGGTAACCAATCGTAGTGTGAGGTAATGCTTAAGCATTACCTCACACATCGACACCAATAACATTTTGAAGAGACCCAATTGGGTCTCTTCAAAATGTTATTGGTGTCGATGAAGAGCCATGCATCCCATAACTTTACCGACGTGGCAGGTTAGCGTGTTCGGTCCAAGATTGGGGTGTTCTACCGGCTTGCCGGACTTTGGAATGAAGATCATCTGGTCCTTCCACAGCTCACAAAGTGGTAGTTGACCTGTCCAGATAAGGTTGACGACGTGTAGGAGGTGGTTTCGGTCAGCATCTGAAAGATTTCGAAGGAGAGCTGTGGTTACCGAGTCTGGTCCCGGGGCTTTGGAGCCTTTGCATCGCCGGATGAGGAGAACATTGATTGTGACGATAGCGGTGTTGTATGCAGGGGCAACATAGATCAGTCGCTTGGTGACGGCCAGTAGATTATCCGGGTCCGTGCGTTGATTGATGAAGTGGTGTCTAGTCATGGTCTTCCTAGAACACGGAGTCATGATGACTTGGAGGATACGCCATGTCTTGACAGTACTGAGCGTATCCTGAAATTTATCACAGTTGGCATCGCAATCTTCCCTGCTGAGTTGGTCCGAGTATTGTTGGATGTGCTCATTAAGGCGATCGATGCGAGCACAGAGTTTGCGATTCGTTTTGTGACGAGTCCACCGTTTAAGGAGAACTGTGAGAGGGGTGTGTTTCGATGCGAGGATTCACTTCGTTGGTGGCAAGAATCTTGGTGTGTTCATCAACTGTTTGTGTAAATTGTTGAGTACAGGTAGGCATATCTGTGTAGAGAGGGTCATTGCGGTCGTGTCGATATTTGTGCCGATCGGTGATGCAAATAGGTTTCCGCCTGATGGGTTTTAGGGTTTTCATGCCTGGGGTTGATGCCTGACAGAACTTTCAAGCTTTGGTTTACAACCTGTTAGCCAGATTATGGTTAAGGAACTTAGATTTTTTTATTACAATTTGTAATTTTTTACCTTTCTTCCTTCATGAGTTTTTCTTGACCTGGCTGAGGAGAATAACCGTTTCTGTAAAAGGGTGATGAGCTGGGCTAGTTAGTATATGTACTACTCCTAATCTGGCCAGCACCGGTATCATAGGTTGATATAAGGAAAAACTTTCCAGAGAAATTTACGGGGCGTATATTATACAAGGTCTGGGAAAGCACTGCGTGAGCCATCTTTCTGTTACTCTATCTGAAAAGGAATTTTTGTTTTTAAACGCTTCGGTGCGCAAAAAACATTGCCCCGCGCCCGAAAGTTCTCGTGCCATATAAGCACGTGCCTGTTGGTTATGTGTTGTCTTCTTTCTTCTTCTCTTCTGGATGAAATATTGATTTGTGAGTTCAGCGTCTATCCTGTCTCCTGTATTCTTCTACAATTTCATCACGTTGTTCGCTGACTTTAACCATGTAAACCGTTTCTTTTAGAAACTTTTTTGATAGTTAATAAATGGGCTCGTTAAGTTTTTTCTCAATACTCCTCCAACAAAGACGCTTCAGCCGAGTGGGCTGAAGCGCACACCCAGCTCGACGTGCGTGGAGCGAAAGCTCGCGCTGCAGAACCCAGGGATCCTGGGTTCCAGCCCCACCCCTGCCCGTTTCGATCTGGATGAGCATCGTACCGGCGTGCGGTCGTGTATCACTACTGCGTGGTGCACGTTAAAGACCCCAGGCTAGCGGTTGTACTGCACTGGCTAAATTGCTCATCTACAGCGTGTGACTCGTCGCAACTTTAATGGCTGACCAACTACACGCTGTATAAATATCCCCACAACCCAATTTTTTTTTTCAGCTGATCGTGTGTAAAAAAATTAAGGAATTCGTTTGAGAAAGGCAAAAGGCCGTTTCAGTTTGTTATCGCCGATCTTGGAAGAATCGCAAAAACGTTTTAATGACATTGAGTTGAGCCGGAGAAAATGTTTAGTCGACAAGAACAGCCATGTGGTCGCTAATATAGCGCTATCGTAGAACATCGTAAGCAGAAACACGTTCGGAGTCCGATTTCCAGTGCAATGATCAGGCCGCCCTTTCTCAAAGTTTTATATTTACAACAAGAAAAAAGTTATAATCGCAAGAAAAAGTAAATTTACCGTTATCTACATCTTCAAATAAACAAGTTTCGGTTCCTAGGAATATATGAGCTTTACACATGTAAATCACAAAATGAATCCTTTTGCTTAAACTAGATGCTACGGAAGTTGCACAATAAAAAATAAAAGTTTGAAGCAAAGCTAACTTATGCAGTCTTATTGCGTTGGCATTTCGAAGGCCGTGATGGGTGAGGAGTAATGTTTTTCTGTCACGGAGCGCAATTTTTCACACAGTTCATATATTCCTAAATAAAACACTCATTTCCAACGAAAATCTTATCAAAGCGGAGCCTGAACGTGGCATATGTTTTTCGCATGTTCAATCAGGTGCTTGCGGGCATAACTACGTTTTGCGTATAATCCTCGCTTATTCAAACTGTGTTCATTTAGCTTAGGAGCGGTGAAAAAGATGTTTTCTTGATTTTGAATGAATTAACATACTAAAATGGACCTTTGTTTACCATTGTGATGTGCCTATATGATGCCCCCTGTCAATCAAACTAGATGCCAGTAGCACCTTCATTGACTCAGAAACAAGCTTGATAACAGCGATTCTGACCCATGCCATGTTTCAATTGGGTTGTAGTATAAACCACAAAAAAAAAAAATGACCGCATCTCCACGTGGTGAATGATGTTGATTGGGGCGAAGCTCTGGTGGTGCTGATGATACTGATTTTATTGTTCATAGGAAGTGCTGATGGTGCTGATTTTTCTTATTGCTCATAGGCAGTGCTGAGTTCCGGGTTGCGTTTCGACTTCATTATTACTGCTTTATGGTCGGTGAAATGCAGAGCCAGTGGTTCTTCTAGCGGATCAGCTTGGATCCGCTAGAAGCCGTGGGAACGCATCTCCACCGCTTAAGTCAACGGTCCATGTCAGAAAGAGAATGTGTGGTATGGAACGTGGTTATATAGGCATTTGAGCATTTGACCGCAGCGCCCTTTCGTCTATAAACGTTGAGCCAATGCATGCAAAGTTTAACGCGATTATATACGCATTTGACCGCAGCGCCCTCTCCTGTATAGACGTTGAGCGGCTACATGCAACGTTTCATCCATGACAGAAACCCTAGCTCTTGAGTTACTACCACATCTCAGAGCCCCCTACTCATCCCGAGCAGAAATCCGTTGGGGTCTCCCCGTACAGGTTCGAATCCTGTCGACAGCGCAAACATTTTTTTTATTTTTATGTGAGCACGGACGCCGTCCGGACGGACGGACGGTCGGACGGTCAAGGCTAGACCCTAAGGAGCTTCTCCCCTAAAAAAGAGCAGATTATTATTATTTTTTTTTTCAGTCTGCTCGGTCATTTTGAGTTTTTGAAATGTGGTTGGTGAGCTTAGAATTTTGACTAGCCCCGACTTTAATTTGGTTCACGTCATTTTTAGCTCATTGACCATCGTAAGTTCTTGTTCTCTGTTAGCTGTCATTGTGTTAATCCCGGCGAGATCAGCTTTCTTTTGTTTTAGTCGAATTTGGTGAATGACCTGCAGATGCTTATTCTGACAGGCCTCTAATCTAGTTGGAAAGGCGATGACTTCGTTGTCCCTTCCAGATGCACTGCCCGAATTAGCTGCTGTGAAATTTATTTCAATATCTCCCGCGGACAAAAAAGTGACTAATGTAGATTCTAGGGGAAAAAAAAAAGTTTTCAGGACAAATTAGGCATGGCACCTCAAAGAGTATACTGCATGTTTGAGGTGCCATGCCTAATTTGTCCTGAAAACTTTTTTTTTTTTTTTTACTTATCGCACTCTAAAGTCCGACAATTGAAAGTTCTATAGAACTTTCAAATGTCGGACTTTAGAGTGCGATAAGTAATTCACCTGCAGCAAGAATAAGGGTAAGTGGACATCCCGCCTGTGCCAAGCCCAGACTGGTGTGAAGGCTGTTGTCTATTTTGCAGTCTTTAAGTGGAATCTGACGTTCCAGGTTGCCAGAGCACGTTTTCATGTACGTCATATCACCTGGTTTAAGGGCGAATAGAGAGGTGGGGGGAACCCGCAAATCAGCGTGCCGAAATCGACCCCTCCACTTAGTTCACAAGTTATTCCGAATACTGCAAACGGTGCAGAAGAGCACGCTGTGACGTAATCAATCATAGGATAACCTCCCGTGATATTTTAATTCATTGATTTCTACATCACTGTCCAGGGAGACCTTGCAAAATCAGCCCCGATTGCTACTACGATATGGTTTGCCAAAATGGATCTTGCCAGCGTAAGTACAACGAATGTCGGACTGAACTTTGGAAAATTGCCACCATGAAAACACTGACCACTTTACATTAGTCCGAGCAGCTGCTCTTAGTTTACAGGAAACCTTGGTGAGATAATTTTGGCAAAGCTCTGCTGAGTAAATGTATGGTTTCTGATGCGTAGACAGGTCTTTCGGCACCTCGTGCCTGAGATATAACCGAAAAATACTAACTACAAGTTTCCTAATAATGATATTAAAAAACATACCCCTGAGTCTTGAGACATCCCGAAAGGGCATTCAGTATTGCAAAAAAAAAAAAAAAAAAAGTATTTTTAGAGATAAATAAACGTACTTGAACGAGTGGAGCTATCAAAGGTATTAAGGGGTTATAAGGAGGCGAAAGTCACCATGTTGTCATTGTGATTTTCAACACGACAATATAAATTACATTTACTGATTTTAGGGGTTTTTCTTCGGTAACTTGACTGCGTGTTGTTGTTGTGTTGTTGTGAGAAAGAATCCACGTGGTTTTGCATATTATACGCGTTACATATAGTGGAACTGGAACTGTATTAAGTTTGTACGGTGCACCCTAAGGGGTGTCGGCTTTCACTCTACTTTTTATAGCCTGGGAATCTAGAACGGGGATAGGTGTTGTTGTTGCATGCCTAATGTAAATGCTAGAGATAATACGAAAGGAAAGCTGAAGCACTAAAAATAATAAAAAAGAACTGAGTTAGCAGTGGACTACCATAGCTTATCTCCTGAATTAAAACAATTGCAGGAAAACTGGACAGTAAGTCCCGTAAACAATTTTTAAAGTCGAAAAAATTGGCAGCAATATACCTTTTTGAGTAATGAGTGCCATCCGGGAATGTGTCTTCAAACTACCGATGAAGGGCAGCCACACCCACATACCTGCGCCTGTCAAAACACATTGACATGGTGCCACTGTATCAGTTTACAGAACTTTTTTTATCCCGATACTACCGACACTCAATAAATAAATCGTCGAAAAAGAAAAAACCCGCGCGAAGGTAGGTGATGATAATGTTGGTCGTGCTGGACGGTACCCTTTGAAAACATTGACAGAAGGAAGCAAGCCCAAGGGAGAGGGTGTACGGACGTGCAGACGCTTACTAGGAAAAGGTCAATTGCCGCAGATAATGCGGCGAACCTGTCTACCGCGTCTTATCTATGAAAGGCATCGTGACGTCATCGTCGCAACATCTCCGAACCTACCAACGTTATTAGAATAGCTCAGTTACGGAACTGCTCATAGATGCTGCTTGCAAGAGCATGCAGTGCCCCCCTCCCCCTTCCCCCTCTCTCATTACTTCCCGTCTCATGTCGTTCGACGCTCCGGATGGCTGCTATGGTAACTACAGTGTGTTCTATGGAATACGTACATTTCGAAGCACAGCGTCTAGATGGCGCTCCACTGTACTTTACCGCAGCTCTACCGAACACACCGTTTTGAAACAAAATCAAGATGGCGCTTGAAAGGACGGGAGGCCGACTGAAGTGTGTAGGGGGGGGGAATACCCCCCCCCCCCCCCCCGCGGGAGTTCCCCAGCTGAGGCAATCTAGTAACGTTGGAGCCTACAGAAAGACGAGCAACGGCCACTTGACAGATCCGATGACGTAATTTCCTCTTGTTTTGCTTCTTCCTCCCTTTTTCTCTTGCACTTGGCTGGCAGCAGCAGCTACGAAGAAAGTTTAATTTGCGGATAAGTGACTCCTACCAGACATAGAAAAATATACACACTATTTTTAAGATGACTGCACTTACGCACTCACAGCTTTTTTTTTTTTTTAATGCGGTTATAGCTTGGTTTGGTTGTAAATAATTTCGACCGTTACATTCTGTTTCCACTTTTAAAGGCAATCCAAAGTCATGAATTGGAATCGACTGCGGCGTCAAGGCTACATGCGTTTCAATGACGACGATGGAGATACTTCCAAGGAACGCTACGATCCTGTAATCTCAGAATAAAGAAAATACCTTACAACCTTATCGCTCTTCTTTGCAATCTTGGTCACTCTTCTCTCATTAAGTTGTGAACCCAATATAAATCCTTACGGTACCGACAACTATCTATCGCTTTAGAATTCAGACTCACGCTACTGCGCAGATCTCACGCGGTACCGTACTTTGGAAGTCCGATAAAGCTAACTGCGCAGTTTTCAAGCGAGTCTCTGTTTTATAGACTTCGTATTTCTAGACGATCTCCGCATCGGCAGCGAATCGTCAAGCATATTTCAGATGCGTCCATCACTGCCGCACCTATGACACCAACTAACTTTCCCGAGTGGTCAAAAACGATAGTGAAACGACGACTTCCGTGTAGCAAAACAAAAATTACAACGATCTTTGTCTTCAAGGTATACTATAATGCATGAAATAGAGAAATAAGGAAATAAAGGAGGGCTCTGAAGTGACACCGCCTTACTGGATTTAACAGGCCTCGATCGCGAGGGGGCCTCGCACTTTTCGGGTCGACCGGTTGAGTAATCAGCGATTTAGTTGAAACGACTCCGGAAGCCAGACTCCGCTTCGCTCTGCGGTTACAAAATTTAAGAAGGAATCAACTTGAAGCTAATAAGATACCAGCACTCATAGAACGCATTGGAGCCAACAGGAAACACGGAGTCGCTTTCACTGAAATGTTTACTACACACGTGAGAGGTTCTCGTATTTCAATTTCCTATTTTTAATTTGATGGCACATTCCTTTGTCAGATTTATTTTGTCCGAATCATAATAAAAATACACCCCATTTGCCGTGGTAGATGCATAGTGGGGTAAAGCGTTGGATATTCTACTTTCATTAGAAAACAGCACACCACCATCCCAGATCTTCGACACCTCAGCGTCAAAAGTGTTTATTCTCACGACTACGCGTGTCGCTGTTTCAAGCTTTGGTAAAATGTCCTACTACAAATTCAAATAGTTCACGTTCAAGTTCACCAAATAAACGCAACAAGTGAAACAGGCTTCGCCGCGCGTTATCCAAACAGGGCATGAAGCGAGCTGACAAGCCGAGGGATCCAAGATCTGCGCGGTCTGTCCCTGTCTGTTCTACCCGTGACGTCAAAAACGATGATGATGATAGCTAGAGAAGCGCCCCCTGCAGTTCGCGCACGCCCCCACGTCCGAATGCCGCTCTATGAGTGTCCCACTATCACCGCGCACACAAGCTCGCGTCTTCGTCGCGAGCTTGTGTGCTCGGTGATAGTGGGACACTCATAGAGCGGCATTCGGACGTGGCAGTGAATGTGAACCTGTCGAGGATTGTGAAAGTGAATGTGAAAGGTCGATGTGAATGTGAAAGGTCGATGTGAGCAGCGTCGGTGCTCCCTTTAAGGATAGGTGGCGCAAGCTACCGCCCGTTACAGAGGGCATAGCCAATATTATTCATCCACCCATCCCCGCTTGCAGAGTTAGCTCTAAACGGAAGTTTTGACGGGCGACGGATGGCCAACGAGTGCTCCCGTATAAATTTCGAAGATTCGTTTTCGCAACAAATGTGGGTTACATTTTCTTTTATATGTACTATGACAAATGTAATTACACTGCGTGCACAATGGAGGCTTAAACGATGTTTCTGCGCGTACGCATAGCCAGAGCCGTATATGTAGAGAGTTTGGCCATTCATTGGAAAGGTGGTTAAGGCAAGACACTGGTTCTAAAATCGACTTTTTTGTTTATTAATGGATTATAATGAAAATCAGTGTGTATATGTGTTTTGGCTTCCTCTTTTCAAATATTCAATTAGTTCTGCAATATCTCAATCACTTTTTGAGTTACGAAGAAAATAATGAAACCTAATTAGGTCATTTCTTACGACTCATCAAGGAACTTTCTAATACAAATTTTTTTGCATAAGTGATATGGATTTGTAGCTAAAGACCTGTCATGCAAGATGATGCTATTTATATTTTTGTAAAAATAGATTATTGTATAAAACTAGTCTAATTAGGTCAAGTACACTATTTACAAAGCCTAACGAGGTCACATTATCACTAATAATAAAATTTCGGGCCCATACTGTCATACAAAAATAGCATCACCCTTCAGTTCACTTCTTTCTGAATTCAACGGTATAAAGTTTATAGAAATCCTTGAAGAATAATCTCATGAAAACGACCGTAAGGCTAGGCATGTAGACGAAAAATGCGAAGCTGAGAAAATTGCAGTTGAAGTTTTGACACTCATTGCATAAAATTTAGTAAGGGATCCCATGCAATAATGTTCAGCAATATGAAGCATAGTTCTATCTGAACAAATTCAGATGAAAAATTCTGCAATCCGTTCACAAGAACCTTTAAAAAATAATATAAAACTGAGAAATAATGTCTGCAATGTAAAATCAAGTTATAAAAGTATGAGTAGACTCTATAAGGGACAACGGGAGGAGGCACCAAGGGTTGCACGCTCCGAAAGCAGATTTTGTTTGGCCCTGAAAAGGGCCTTTGTTCGTGTAGCACTTGAAAGGGGAGCCCCTCACAGCCGTCCAGGACTGTAGTCCCCAGCTGTTCCAGTTTGGTGTTGCCTGGAGAACCTCTGCTTTGCATTGCTGCTGCTCTGGTGGGCAGCGTTGGCCTTACGCAAAGGCAGATTGTCCTTCTCCATGCTTGGAGAGCTTTCATGCCCACTACAATGAACTGTGTCCCAGCGTCGCGCGTCTGGCCTCCTGTGGTGACGCCGAGAAGGTCGAATTTGCGCTGGGTCGCCGACTTTTCCGATAGCGCACGCTTGCATTCGTCCGATCGTGCGACTCGTTGCGCCTGCTCGGCCGTGGAGTAGTATGCGGTGTCGGCACGAACCGCGCTCGCAAAGCTCGACAAACTGCCGCTGCTCCATGGATTCGCGATGTCTCCGGCTGATGTTTCCGGAAGATCCAAGGCATCCGGCGGTGCCGATCGCGGTGGCGCACTTGCGGCAGACAGCTTCGGCTTTTTGTTCCACGGTCGCTTCCTCTTCCTTCCAAACGCTTGCCGCGTGCTCGATTTCAACCGAGCGTCGTCCGGCATCTCAAGAACTCGAAGCGAAACAAAAGAAAACACGCGCGACTTCGTAGGAAAACAAACCAACAATGTTCAACGCAAGCGCGCGAACGGGAACTAAAACGTGCGCTCGACCACGGAGGAAACAAAGCAGACAGGCCTAAGGAGACGGGCGGAGACGGGCCCAGGAGCAGACGACGCACCTCTCGCCAGCGCGGGAACGGAAAGGAAGAAAGGAGAAAAAGAGCGGAGGGGCGCGTTTAGGCCAATAGCAGGGGCGCTAGGCACCGCGCGTGCTCTGACGTACGGGCACCTTGCTAGCCGGCCAATGAGCTATCGCAATTGGGGCCTTTGAAACCCGCGGAATGTGGACGTTCCCCGATGTTGTCGCGATAACGAATGGCATGGGGACGTGGGGAAAATAAGCGGCTTTCCAACAAGACCAAGATGGCCGCGATCCGACGAGCGATCGCGAAACGCGCGGGGCGCGAAGTTCCACTTGTTTTCATTGAACTCGCTGTGCCAGGGCGCTGCGGGGACATCGTAAATATCATTTTTTTCATGCTTAGACATTGAATTCGACATTGAAACTTTGCAGGCAGGTACCTTAGACTACAATTAATCCAAATAGGTGAATTTTGAAAAACGCGAAATTTCGCGTTTTTTGAACATTTTAAGACCCGCGTCTCCCCTTAAAAGAGGTATAGTTTTTACCTGTCTCCGCACATCCTTGGCGAAGTCTTGTCCACACGGGATGGTGGAGGATTTTACATACCAGGTGAACAGGCTGAAGAAGGGGGGCTATCCACCAGCACTCCTCACAGGAGTGGGTGAATCACTGCTGAAAATGCTTCGGGAGTTTGCTGTGGTTTCAGAGAAAGGCAAGCCGAGAGTGAGACCAGTAGTGGTGCCCTACGTACACAAGGTCAGCCACAGGATTAAGAAGGTGGCGGAGAGACATGAAGTCCCGGTTCTTTTCTCCGCTCTCAAGGAACTGGAGAAGTCGTGTGGTAGAATTGATAGGGGAGCAGCACACGCAGCGCGATGCGAAAAGAAGCATAAAAAGCTGTTCGTAGCGTGTGAAGTGGGAATTGTGTATAGAAAACCGCTATCGTGTGGTAAGCAGTATATTGGACAGCCTGGTAGATGCATCAACGATAGACTAAGGGAGCGTGCATTATCTGTGAGCTCGTCCCCTGCCGGTCATTTGGCGAATTATTGCGACAGGTGTAGGTGCGCCCCTAAGTCGGAGAGACGATAATAATGATGCGACACAACAACAAAAGGACGAGAGAGATAACGGAGGCATTTTATATATGTAGGGAAGGCACGTGGTGTCAGTGCCCCCTCTGTGGCCCTCCATCAAAGAGAGATAGAATAGCTCGGTCAATGGGAACGTGGTGCGTGGTGACGTGGGTGTGGCGGATTGTTCGGTTTTTGTCGCGGCCTTCATGTTTTTTCCTAATACATTTTAGTTTAATTCAGCGCCTCGTCTGTCTGTATAACTCTTCTACTGGTCCGTTGTTTTGTTTCCGCTGTTTTCTCGTTCCGATGCATCACCAACTCGCCCAGATTTCTACGCTTTTACAGTTAATAAGTGCATCGGAGCAACTCTCGGTGACTGAAAATATGGTGCACGAGATGTTTCAATCACGACCATCCAAAATCATGGTGGAAGAGTGCGACTAACGGAACGATCGATATAATCCGTACGCCAGGCGCCGAGGCCCGGGAATCTGTCATCCGAGCGGTCACACTCTGTCCGAGGAAAACCAGAGTTAACATTCGATTCTTACATCTTTCTGCATGATAATGATCGAAACATCAGGCGCACCCTATTCTTCAACCATGAAGGATTACTACATTTAACTCTTACGCGCTCATTAAAACCAAATATCTATGGTTAAAACTGTTTCTCGCTGCCACCGCTAGGGGATTCTTTTCGGCTTCTGGTTGGCTGAGAGAGCATGTCACGCTCTTTTTCTGCGTCTGGTGCATGCCCTATGTC